AAATTAAAAATCTTCTTTTGAGAAAAGCAGCAGCTCTACCTGTAATAGTATCTGCTACACGTTGTGTGATTCAGAACCTTGTAGTTTTACTGGATCCGACACCTTTAGAATATATTTAGCTTACGTGTAATTATATTTTTTGAAAATAAAACCCAAATTTCTCATAGAGGGTCTGACCCTCTCTTTATATCCTCAGGCATAAATCGGGGAGGGGAGGGTCACTAATGAAAAATAGCTGAGAGGAGAATTAGATTTGTAATCATAATCCAATATAGTGCTAGTATATAGTCACTGGCCAGAACTGGTAATTGAAGCAGTCCAAGTAGAAATATTGCATTGACTACTGAAAAAGCATCGTGATCGAGTTCTCTGTGCTGTTCACTTGGTAATCCTAACGGTGCCACATGCCATTCGATGTTTAATTAAGTAAACACCCCTAGTTTTGTGTCCATTGTCAAATATGTCTATAATGTGTTTTGATCTAGTCCTACACAGCTAGACTGCCTAATTAAAGATAAAGAGGTGAAAAATTTGGGTTCCTGTGGTCTGCCATGTAATGAAATCAGAAAGCGTTCTGGTTTGAATACAATACAGTTCCTTTTATGTATGTGTGATTTTCTTTCTTTCTTTCTTTCTCTTTCTTTCTTTTTCTCTCTCTTTCTCTCTTTCTTTAATTTTGATGATGTGCCAGCAAACAATGTTATTTCTTTCAAAAGAGCTTCCTCAAACTTATAGGTGGAATTCTGTGGTGCTGGTGTTACAGCACTGCAAGATGAAGGTGCTATTGTAGTGTATGCAAGTATATCTGTATGAACCTGATACTGTTACCACAGAAAACAATAGCAGCCTGTATATGATGATGTAGGCTTATTTATATGGCAATAACTAGAGTATAAACCTTCTAGGCCCCTAAGTAGTTCTAGTAGTGAACGATTAAAGCCTGTACTCCCAGTGTCTCCTTTGCTATTACTGCCTGTGGCAGCTAGATTGTGAACGTAGGTAGAGCATATACTACAATTTACCTTTTGTTTACCATGGAGAGAATCCAAAGATTATGATAATAAATTAATGAAGAGCTAGAAACGATGTCAATGGAATAATGAGTGAGACTTGAATAGACCCTCAGCTTCAAGTAGTTTCATATGCTTTTGATCCCAGTTTGATCCCTCAAATGAGAAATTACAGATGAAAATATGAGCCTAATTTCAATCTCATAGTACTGCAAATCAGGCATGAATTTAATGAAGTATCTTGATTTTTTATGACAAAAAACTGGTAAAGGTGAGAACAGGAGAAGGGGCCTTGTTTGGTGTCCCCTGATTCAGAATCTAAACTTCACCTCTAGTGAGACAGCAATAGCAGCTAGTTAACACCTCCTTTTCCCAAAGTTATGTGTTGTTATTGATGATATTAGTACCATATACAAACAGAGAATTAAACAAATATAGAGCCATATGTTCCCCTCTGCTGTGAGGCACAGAGGGGAACCACAACACAAATAAAGGGGAATGGCAGTAAAGCCCCAAAGTAGCAGAATGGCGATGACAATTCTTTGACAGCGTCATTCATTCTCCCCAGCAGCTCACAAAGGTACATCTCAAGCAAAGCCACCATCTCCTTGTATGTAGGATGAGGACAGGAAGAAGTCACCTGCTACAAAAATTGTCCCCTCCCAGCAATCGAGCAAGCTTTGTGGAAGTTATTGTTCCTCCTGGCAGGATTAGCTTTGTTTTGGTGCTTGTACAAACCCCTGTAGTTTCTTTAACCAAATGTTATTTTGCGGGGACAAACAGTAGATCTGTATCAGCTACAGCCATGACAGGTGCAAGAATCACAGAAAAGCGGGTCATGGTGCTTCCGTTCCTTTTGAATCCCCCGAATTTGGAGTTTGCTTGTCTCTTTGTCTGCTTTTTCCTTCAGCCCTGCTCTTACAAGGAAGTACAGTCAGAAACAAAGCGAGCCTCATACAAATACCTGGCTGTTATTTGTATTCCTGCACCCTGACCACAGGAGATGATGTTACCTTCTGTGTCAGCATTTGGCTCGACATGTTTAGAATGCTTAGGAAACAAAGTATTTCTCAGTTCAAAGGGATAGGTGTGTATACATACGTTCTAACACTTCTCAAGCAGTGAAAAAAAACAATGAAGAATGAAAAAGTTAGCAATAATGTCCTGTATGCCACTCATGCATGCCATCATTATACTTTTTAAGTTTCTGTATGGGATAAAAAATTAAAAGATAAGAAAAAGCTAAAACCTGTATGCCTGTTATATGACCCAGAAAAGGATCTGTGGGAAAAGCATGGCTGCCTTTAGAGCTAGAGAGTCAAGAGCAAAACCAATGAAATTTACAGGCTGCTTTTGGGCTAGAAGTGCTCCTGTGTTAGGTTGCTCAGGAATTTCCTGTTATAAATTGTTCCCTCAGCTATGGGTCTGAAGTAGACTCAGGAAATTACATGGCCCATCCTAGGTTAGGGAGTCCATTAGTTTATTCTAGGCTTTCAGGTGACATTATTTCGTCAACTTGTTACTTTCCCAGATAGACACTTATTTCTGATTTTGTCTGGCATTAATATTGTAACACTAATAAATATTGGGTTTAGGCTGCATTATGCCAGGCACAATAAAATGTTTTAGAAATATGAGATACATGAGATGGAGGGACACTTACAGTAGTAACAACAGTTAGCATGGACTGGTAATTTGCAAGTGTATAGTCAGTTCTTTGAAACCAGAAACATTTAGTGAAGGCCTAGTTGAATGCTAGCCATTAAGAAATGTCAATTTCTGGTTTTTATTTTTATTATAGCATTTTTTAAATAGTTGAACCTCAAAACTTTTGAATGTCTTTTTGCTTGTCTCAGGGCAAAAAAACTCAATATACAAACATATCTTTAATCTTTTGTTTTTCCTAATCCCTTTCACTATTTTGTAACAAATCCTTTTAAGCAGCTTCGCCAACCTCCATTTTCCTCCTCATGACAATATATCCTGCGATTGTTTTACCTTTCAACAAAAGAGAATTTTCATAATCCAAAGACAGTTTTCTACTTAATTTGTTTTTCTATTGAGCTGAAGCAGATTGTTTTATTAAAATGTCATAGGTTGTTATGTTGCTCCTCTCTCACCTGCATTCTCTTGCAGACTCCAGAATGGTATGAATAACAGGAGATTTGTAAATAATTGAATTAACAGCAAACCCACAGATATTTGGAGATGGATTTCTGGAAAAAATGATTTCTTAAAATAGGAGAAAAACAGCAGTGGTACTTAGAAAAGCTTCTTCAAGTTGGGAAACGTTCATATATGGTTTTCAGGTTTTGGCTGCGATTTAGACTGATATTTTTATATTTTTCCAGCAAGTTCACCTAACTTCCCCCATATTATTTTTAATATACACGGACATGACTCAAAATTATGTACAAAGATCAGTTTTAATATTTTACAGCCTCGTTTACAAAGATGCAGAGTACTCGCAGCTTCCATAGAATCTAATGGGACTTAGGAAAACTCAGTATCTCTGAAAATCAGGTCATTAATTTTGAAAATATGCATTAATTACTCTCTAGGCTGTAATAGCTCACTTGATGTTACTACAATCTACATTCTTTTGAAAAGTGTATTTTTCACCTGGTACACTGCGTTTTCTCCTAAAGAGCAGTCATATCTTATCATGTAAAAGCTTCTTTATAACCGATCCAATTATTGACCTGTGGCATTGACCTGAATGAAAAGTTATATTTCCAAAGGAATGGTACAACCTATTGTGTTAATCTGTTTGACAGGCATACTCTTGAAGGCCTCATGCTAACAATAGCTGTGAAATTTATAGAAATAATTAACTTGCTGAAACACAAAACCATGTATTTTCACTACGCAATAATTTAGGTAGTTTAAATTTCCATTTTCTAAATTACAGCTAGTCTAGAGTAGGAAAGAGGGTTTGCAGAATTTACGAAAACACGTAGTCCTTTTCAACATTTTGTATGGGTAGATTTTCAGATCTTATTGAAACATTTTTCTTCTAGCCTGAGACCTGCCACACCATGTTTATGAGTTGTAAACAGTGGTGGATTAACGAAAAACTGTTACAAGTCTTAACTGTAGGCTGTAACAATAATTCTGTGCTATTCATAAATGGCAAAACCTTGTCATGTCAACATTTCTAACTGGCGTAATTTCAATTAGGATTCTTTGTAATGGATACATTTCCTATGGTAAGCGTTATCTTTTATATGCATCTGTATAAAATCCTTCTTTAAAGTACTGTCACTTTCAACTGCTGCATTCGGTGTAATTTAGTGCTCTTGATGCTTTTGTGTCACATGGTTATAGGTAGGTAGATTAATAGGAAGTTCTATCTGGAAATTTCTTTCCTGTTATTGTTCTCCCTGAGCAGTTGATGGCTAAGTTAATTCTCTTTAGTTTTGTCATGCTCTAGAGCACATGTTGCCAAGCTATGATAAGCTTTACGGAGAGAAAAAAAAGCCCTTGTGTCCATCAAAGTCTTAAACTTGCATTTTAAACTTTGGCCTGACCTGATGTGCCATTCAAAAAGCTTCAAAAGATTATTTTTTTAAGAAAGGTTCAATATGTCCCGAGGCTATCGCTTTTGAGTTAAACTGGGTGAAGTAGAAATATTTTACTCATCAGCTTTGCAGTCACAGAGTTTGCCTCAGCTAGAACAAAACTGCTGAGGCATTTAGAGAAAATTAACCCCCCATCCTGGCAGCCAGATGTGACTGGTTTCTGATGAATGCACATGAGCGGGCTGAAAAATCAAGAGACTGTGAAATTCCTGTCAGGTCCGTGCAGCGCAGAATGGGCTATTGACTGCTTTCTATATCTCGCTCCATCATTCTTCTTGAACACTGCCATTAATTTCCTCTCCAGCTCTGACTTGGGGTTTTTCTTTTCCTTTTCCTCCCCCCTCCCTTTATTTATTTATTTTTTCCTCTTGTGCCCCCCT